CAAAGAAAACGGTGCAAGTTGATAAAATGACATTATCCATTCAACCTATTTTTACATTTAACCTGTAATTACCTATCATTACCAATTTAACCTAGGGTGAAGGTGGGGATGAAGGTGCCTGAAAAACGATCCGGGTAAGTTGGCCTACGATCCTTACAGGAGGGGGCCCTTGGATAAGGCTCCCATAACCTTGTCAAAAATGTCCTCCTTCCAACTTTAGATTAGTCTGGCATGAAGATGCTGTAAGGCGACCTGCTTGACCAACAGCTTGACTCATGACTGTGGGGGGAGGGGTCATACGTTCCTGCCGGTAAAAAAATACTATTGGAGTGTTTGGTTAGGTAAAAGGGGTTGAGTCCTAAGAAATAAATGGCAGAGGTTGAGAATCAGTTTTGAACCTTGTATTTGCAGTAGTTACAATAACAGGTCATATTTGGTAAAACAAAAAAACGGTTGAATGTCTAGACAATCCAAAAATTATTGTTTGTAAGTTTGTGGTTCGTTTGGAGGGCATCTGGGACAGTTAGACATGTTCCGCCATCAGTTTTGGTTTCTGAAGCATTTAACATTGCATTATACGTACGTTATTAATGCATCGCTGCCCGATACATTTTGTGTCAAAATCACTAAGAAAATATGTCCAATTGTGGAAAATCAATAACGTTTGTTAAACTCTTATTCCCATTGATAGTGGTAAAAGTACGGTAAGTTCTCCCTTAGCACGTGTTCACACAAGGCGTTTTCGTTATAACGCGATTTCTGAGCGGTCGATGACGTACTACTTTCTTGAGCTGTGCGGCTGAGCAATGATATGGTACACGGACTAATACAATAACACTGCGGTATGCCCCTCAGTTATCTGTCCCACAATCTTATTGAGTTTGTGTACATTGTTTTTCGTTATCGTTACATTATTATCTATGGGCAATTCGTTCTCATTTCACACATTTTTTTCGCTCAACTTGGAATTTTTCAGGAATGCATTTACTGTGTTAAATGTGGACTTACTGAAGTGTTTCTGGATTACTGCACAGTTTTTTAGTCTCTGCTGCAGAGAAAAGCCACTATTTCAGGGTGAAGATATCTAACAATTACAATCAGTTCCATCTCAATGTCAATCTCCTGCCCAATGAAGGCCTCTCCACAGATGTTGATCATGGAGGTTGTCACTTGCCACTGATGTTAGCCATAGCCAACAAATTCACGTTTCTGGGTTCCTCGTATAGTGTGCTAACTAGCCACTGCACAAATGCTCCACACCTCTAGTTTAAGATGTATACTATTTTACTCTATCTCAAACAGGCTATGGAACAAAAGCGCAAGAAAGCCTACCATGGTAATCTTGCAATATATAACTTTTTTAAAGTTTATGACGTCTTAGGCGGGTCTATTCATATCTGGTGAGGCTTAGAAAGTACAGCCTTGGGTGCAAACAAAAAATAATGATGCATGCTCAATGAGCACACAATTCCATTCACTTGCATTGTTAAGGAAGGGGCGGGAAGGCGGGGGTTGGTGTTGCCATGAGACAGAGGAACGTGCTAAACGAAAGCTGTCGGGCTCTGCCTGCAGTATGCATTAATATTCATGTGCGCATGCCTGCCACTCTGTGTAAGCTGATGTGGAAGAGCATTGCGAAAGAGCAGTGTCACGTGTGCACAACAGCGCCTCCCACGCTCATTAATATTTGTGACGTAACAGCACGTGTTCTGTCATGAACACAAATTAGATTTCTATAAAATAGTATGTAATAGAACTCCTCTGTTCATTAATCTCGGTATCCGCGACAACTGTCTCTCCTTGGTCAAAGCTGGTCAAGGGCAGTTTATATCATCCGCAGATCAATTCACCCTGTTATCCGTGTTCACTCCACAATTAAAAGTTGACCGGAAGGGGTCGCAGATAAGAGGAACCTCGTGGCAAATGACTCTTATTAATCTATAGCAGAGACTCACCTCGACCTCCATCACTCACAGGTCCCTCCTTCATACACTGCTCTCTCCTCCTGCCACTCCTTTGACATCCCCTCTTATCCCCACAATCCTTCCCATTCCCGTCCCCCTCATCCCTGTCACATTATCTCCAGCCAACAATCACGTTTCGTCACACCGCGGAAAATGTCATCATCTCCCCACCACCAGTCAAATGAATCGTCATATGGCAGGGTTACTCCCGGTCAAGTAAGTGCAGGGATTAATGTCAGCACGTAGGAGATAAGGAAATACCGATGTTGTGGGAACCATTATGGATGACAGTTACAAATACGTAACAGGTGAACCTTGTTACTCCCCAAGAGTAGCAATGTACTAATCCAATAAAATTAAACATTTCTGTTGAATCCAACAAACGATTCATTCGCAATACAAAACGTGATTACAACTGAAAATACAGACCATACATTTCCTGCCTTCCTTAATATGGACAATTATGGCTTCAAGAATTCCAATGCCCTGTCGTCGATAAAGGAAGCAATTAATGACCTTAATGGAAGAGTATTATTTTTAGAGTGCCATTGAAATGCAATGCACGTGGTTTTTTGATGTTCCAAGGTAAAAAATCACGGCCAAAAGATCTCAATATCTTAGACCAGTTCGCAGCATAAATCAATTCAATTCCATTGCATATTGCTTTCCCCACACATTATTATTTAACTGTGCAGACATGTGAAGTCACTGGGAGCCATATCTGGTGAGTATGGTGTGGTGATCAACACATTCATAAACATCTGACATTATGAACAACAGCCATGGAAACTCGAGGATTGTGAACTGGAATGTTGTCCTGGTGAAACAGCATTTCACATCTCAAATTTCATCACCTCTTTCACACGTAAATTTTCTCTTTCAGCATAAACTCGCTATATTACTTATTATTTGCGCACAAGCACAAATAAGCAAAAAAACTCAACACGTATCAATAACACTGCCTTAAAATGAAGATATATAATCACAGGGATGAAACCCAGATTCAAACCTAGGATCTTAGTCATGGTGGCAGAGTGCTCTGACTTCTGAGTCACCCGGCCACCTCACATATTTTATCGTATGATCTAATCTTGTGATTAATTCTACGTAGTAATGCACTTTCATTGTCCCTTCATTTTCCAAATAATCAGTGTGACTCCATCAGTAACCCAGAAACCTGAGGCCATTTGTCAGCAGAGGATTTAACTCAAAATTTTAATGGCACGGGTGATCCATAAAATTCCCAATGAAAACTCTACGCATTGGTTTCTAGATCAAAACAGTGGACCCATTATTCATTTTTTATCACAAATCTGGCAAGATAAATTTCAGTGTATTATTGGTACTGGTCCAGGAACTCCTAATTTCTTGACTCTAGTTCATTTTTGGTCAACATACTAAGCACCCATCTTGCAGCTACTTTGTTTATCTCCAAACTGCCAGTCTATTTTGGTCATTGTGGCGAGATGTTAAATACATCGCCTGGTATGTAGGAGGTCGTGGGTTCGATCCCGACCCTGACGCCTGCAAATTTGGAGTTTACATGTTCTCCCCGTGGTCTCGTGGATTTTCTCCGGGTCCTCCGGGTTTTCCCTCCACATGTAGAAACATGTGTTTCCAGTTTTTGGCTGCTATAAACTTCCACGTGATAAGCCACTTCGTTGAGCTACCATTTGTGGCCAGGTCGCTTCTGAAAAAGAGCTATATAGCTCAATGGGCCTTACCTGGTAAAACTAAATAGTGAAATATATATTTCAAAATTGTACTGTATGATTAGACAACGGTCTCAGGAATCTTTATCATGGTTCATCAACAGTCTTACATAATACAGTCATTTTGTTGCTATTATTAGTATTACACTTGTTTACGTGGGAAGACCTCACCGAATCTCAAGACAGGTAATGTTTCAGCATTGGGATGTTTGTCATACACCGCTGACATTCTATGTCTTTTTTTTAGTTATGGGAAAAACTCAAGAACTAAAAAAAAACCCATGCAGAGTGGGGAGAACATACAAATACCACACATACAGGCACCCAAGTCAGGAATCGATTCCAAACCCTTCTTGCTGTTAGGCATACATGTTTCCACTCCAGTGCCCTGCAACGACCTTGTTAAAGTTGGAGGGTGCACATAGCATGCATCATCTTCACACAACTCCCTCACACTTAAACTGTATGCACAACCTAATACATATGAAACATTATGAGGGAAACATATCTTTCTTTTGATGTTTAAAAACATATTTTTCATCTCATAAAATGTTTAATTCCAAACGCTGTGTTTGTATCATATCACAACACAAAGTATGCATTCAGAACTCTTTGACTTATTTTATATATTTTTATCACTGTTTTCAAGTATGCTTTCTATAATTTCAGTTAACACTTTAACAAGACTATTTAAAATACTTGTACAAAAACACAAGTTAATTGGTTGTTCAGTCGTTTGGTGAATCTTCTTCAAAGTAAGCACAATATGTTTTGAACCAATCACCATCTACTGATTGTTTATTAAACCCCTCCTGTGTGTGCGAGCGATCACATGATGCAGCACAAGAATTATATATGTGGTGTAAAATGAGGCAGGATGACCATACAGAGGTAATACATAATGGTGGGCCAAACATTTGCACAACTTGTTGCAGTAGGGTGTATATGGACAGTCTGAAGTCTGTGCTCCGAGCTTTTCAGATATGTATGTGCATTCATTTTGCTATGCTACACTTGGAGAATGACATGCAGCAAACAACTGTTCTGTCCATGTTTTTACACAGGAATCTAGTGCCGACAGCAACCCAGAGTTGACTGCAAGGAAAACTTCACACCCGTATCTTTCAAAGGAAAACAATTGCATACCCTGCGGCTGTAAATAATGGCACACAAGGATGTATGCACATTTTGTCAGACAAAAGAGTACTTCCCGAATGTGAAGCATTTTTGGATATTGCCCAGTGACTCTCCTGAATGTCCTTTGCAGGCAGAAGCTCTTATATGTATTGCATTATAATCCGATTATAACACGTTTTTGTGGTACCTTAAGGACGTCTTCGTCTGCTGACTGGCAGTGTGCACGCTGCGACACATCCAATAGAATGCCACTCGTGTCAATAGCCACCACTTGTAAGGGCATTCTCACCAGCTGGCCTGTCAGCACTGCCGTATTCACCAGCTCTGGAAACTAACAGCATTAAAAATGGGATTAAAATAAACAATAAAAACAGTCAAGCACCGTATACCAACATGTAGTGACCATGTTTGATTTCTAACATTCACTTGTTATATTTCCAGAGCACCTTAGCTCAAGGCAAATTTCGTACTTTAAAAAGCATTAACAAAACCAAGTGACTTAGATGGCCGAGGCGTGCAAGGGCTGAGGAATTAGTGACCGTAACAGAAGGCACATAGGGATTACGAAAGGACAAGGGAGGGACGGGATGGAGTGGAGGGGTGAAGGGGTGGAAGAGTAAGATAATGGGCAATGGATAAGAAGTGAGCTTTGAGAGAGGAATGAAAGGAGGTTGAGGAGAACTGCTTAATGTAAAAGGGAAGTTTATTCCTGTGGAGAGGTGTAAGGAGGGAGAAATATCAAAAATGAGATCGGGTACAGAGAGAAGAAGGGACAAAGAGAGAGAGAGAGAAGAATGAGAATGAAGAGGAGGAGAGGGGACAGCATAGATATAAGAGAAGCAGGATAACGTGGGGCAAGGCCACAAAGAACTAGAGTTGAACTAGAGTTTTTAACCCCTGGGGTAAAAAAAACATGACGTATCATGGTAAAAATAATATCTCACAATACTTTTAGAGGGGAGAACTACCGTACCTATATATGCATTGTGTCGAATGGTGTATTCTTGTGCAACTGACAAAAACTGGGAATGTTATGTCCTGGGTAGACTTACAGACAATCCTGGGAAAACCAGGGCAGGTGGCAATCCTATTTAAAATGTGCACATAAAGTATTATTATAAAATTGTCAAGAATTATTTGTAGATTCCTGCTCAATTTAGAGCGTGAGAGTACTTATCTCTTCGTTAGAGGCCTCAGGAAGTAGTAGAAGTTCCACATTTTATGGTGAGGGTGAGATTTTCCATTGGACAACCACTGTTGATTTCCCCACAAAGTGGTACTCATCTTATTGACCATAGGCACGAACGTCTGAGTTGAGCCCTCACGTATATTTGAACTCGTAACATTCTGCTTGCAAGACACACGCTCTCTTAATTATCTCACCAATTTGGTACATTTATATATTCCACTGTGAAAACTTAGTTTTTGCTCATTCTGGTAGAAACTCATTAATCCAGAGACCAAACTTTTTTCTATGGGAAACAAAGCATTTTTGCAGCCAGGCTCTGTGATTGAGAAATTCCCTTCCTCGGTCTATTAAGGAAACTGAGTCTGTTACATTTTTAAAATCGCATCATAAAACTCACCTGTTTTACAGCATGTGTTCTCCGTAACTTGGGCTTCATGTAAAGCCCTTTTGGGCCTTGTGCCAAGTGTGCTATAGTTATTATTATTATTACTGTCATGCTGCACCACCTGATTGGATTAACATGCTATTTAGGTATATTTTAATTTGAAACATGAACAAATTCCAATAATAATGTGTGAATTTTGTCAAACAATATTACGGTCTCACGGTGAAGTTCATATCTACATGGGCACTGTGTATCAAAGAGTGCAGCCACAGGTTATTGCATGATCCAGTCTGTTCTTTTGTATGAATGTGTAATCACAGTAGAGTCTACATGCAGTGTGAGAGGTAATGACAGAGGAGTCAGACTACAGTGTGAATGCACTAGTGGCCACGGGAGATAAATACAGGGGTGTTAGCTGTGAGTTACCAAGAGACCGGTTGCTACGGGAATGATCGAGAAGGGAGCCCGGTCAGGTGACGGAAGAGGACTGTAGAATATGCTGGTTGAGCGAGCGTCCAATGTGAGTTTATTCATATGCTTTCCATACATACAGTGAGTGAAAAAAGTATTTGATCAGTTTAACACGTAGGCTTTCGCGACCAATATTATTCATAATAAAGGTTTTTGGGTTAGATCGCGTTTATTTATAAATGTGTCGTAACCCTCCACCACCCGACACGGCCAATCAGCTAAAAAAGTGAATTATTTGTCTTTTGTCAACGTGACACTTTTTTTGCTGATTGGCCGTGTCGGGTGGTGGAGGGTTACGACATATTTATAAATAAACGCGATCTAACCCAAAAACCTTTATTATGAAGTATTTGATCCCCTGCTGATTTTGTACGTATGCCCACTGACAAAGAAATGATCAGTCTAAAATTTTAATGGTAGGTTTATTTGAAGAGTGAGAGACAGAATAACAAGAAAAAAATGCACGTCAAAAATGTTATAAATTGATTTGCATTTTAATGAGGGAAATAATTATTTGACCCCTCTGCAAAATATGACAGTACTTGGTGGCAAAATCCTTGTTGGCAATCACAGAGGTCAGACGTTTCTTGTAGTTGGCCACCAGGTTTGCACACATCTCAGGAGGGATCTTGTCTCACTCCTCTTTGCAGATCTTCTCCAAGTCATTAAGGTTTCGAGGCTGACGTTTGGCAACTCGAACCTTCAGCTCCCTCCACAGATTTTCTATGGGATTAAGGTCTGGAGACTGGCTAGGCCACTCCAGGACCTTAATGTGCTTCTTCTTGAGCCACTCCTTTGTTGCCTTGGCCGTGTGTTTTGGGTTATTATCATGCTGGAATACCCATCCACGACCCATTTTCAATGCTTTGGCTGAGGGAAGGAGGTTCTCACCCAAGATTTGATGGTACATGGACCCGTCCAACGTCCCTTTGATGCGGTGAAGTTGTCCTGTCCCCTTAGCAGAAAAACACTCCCAAAGCATAATGTTTCCATCTCAATGTTTGACGGTGGTGATGGTGTTCTTGAGGTCATAGGCAGCATTCCTCCTCCTCCAAACACGGCGAGTTGAGTTGATGCTAAAGAGCTCCATTTTGGTATCATCTGACCACGACACTTTCACCCAGTTGTCCTCTGAATCATTCAGATGTTCATTGGCAAACTTCAGACGGGCATGTATATGTGCTTTCTTGAGCAGGGGGACCTTGCGGGTGCTGCAGGATTTCAGTCCTTCATGGCGTAGTGTGTTACTAATTGTTTTCTTGGTGACTATGCTCCCAGCTCCCTTGAGCTCATTGACAAGATCCTCCCGTGTAGTTCTGGGCTGATTCCTCACCGTTCTCATGATCATTGCAACTCCACGAGGTGATATCTTGCATGGAGCCCCAGGCCGAGGGAGATTGACAGTTATTTTGTGTTTCTTCCATTTGCAAATAATCGCACCAACTGTTGTCACCTTCTCACCAAGCTGCTTGGCAATGGTCTTGTAGTCCATTCCAGCCTTGTGTAGGTCTACAATCTTGTCCCTGACATCCTTGGAGAGCTCTTTGGTCTTGGCCATTGTGGAGAGTTTGGAATCTGATTGATTGGTTGCTTCTGTGGACAGGTGTCTTTTATACAGTTAACAAGCTGAGATTAGGAGCACTCCCTTTAAGAGTGTGCTCCTAATCTCAGCTCGTTACCTGTAAAAAAGACACCTGGGAGCCAGAAATCTTTCTGATTGAGTGGGAGTCAAATATTTATTTCCCTCATTAAAATGCAAATCAATTTATAACATTTTTGACATGCGTTTTTCTGGATTTTGTTGTTGTTATTCTGTCTCTCACTGTTCAAATAAACCTACCATTAAAATTATAGACTGATCATTTCTTTGTCAGTGGGCAAACGTACAAAATCATCAAGCGATTAAATACTTTTTTCCCTCACTGTAGTGACACTAAACCGATAATTGACACTTGTTAAATCCAAGCACTCGACACTACAATCGGTAACAACAATTGAGCAAGGAGAATATCCCACACGTGTTTCCATGAAGAAATCTCACTGCATTGCTCCCTGGCGTGAGCCACTTTGCACTGATATCATGACGAGGTCTGAACGCAAAAAACATCTATGATTGCTCAAATTGGCCACTAGATGGTGAGAAAGGGCCTCCTTATTGACAATAACATCACGTGAAAATAATGTAAATACACATGCGATCTATAAATGCATAGAGATACTTCAACTGATCATTTCTTTGTCAGTGGGCAAACGTACAAAATCAGCAAGGGATTAAATACTTTTTTCCCTCACTGTAGTGACACTAAACCGATAATTGACACTTGTTAAATCCAAGCACTCGACACTACAATCGGTAACAACAACTGAGCAAGGAGAATATCCCACACGTGTTTCCATGAAGAAATCTCACCGCATTGCTCCCTGGCGTGAGCCACTTTGCACTGATATCATGACGAGGTCTGAACGCAAAAAAACATCTATGATTGCTCAAATTGGCCACTAGATGGTGAGAAAGGGCCTCTTTATTGACAATAACACCAGGTGAAAATAATGTAAATACACATGCGATCTATAAATGCAGAGATACTTCAACAAAATGTAAATATGGTAATGTAAAAAATAATAAACCGTATTTTGTTGGTTCATTTGCATGTTCAATAAATGTCTACAGTGAGGGAAAAAAGTATTTGATCCCCTGCTGATTTTGTACGTTTGCCCACTGACAAAGAAATGATCAGTCTATAATTTTAATGGTAGGTTTGTTTGAACAGTGAGAGACAGAATAACAACAAAAAAATCCAGAAAAACGCATGTCAAAAATGTTATAAATTGATTTGCATTTTAATGAGGGAAATAAGTATTTAACCCCCTCTCAATCAGAATGATTTCTGGCTCCCAGGTGTCTTCTATACAGGTAACGAGCTGAGATTAGGAGCACACTCTAAACGGGAGTGCTCCTAATATCAGCTTATTACCTGTGTAAAAGACACCTGTCCACAGAAGCAATCAATCAATTAGATTCCAAACTCTCCACCATGGCCAAGACCAAAGAGCTCTCCAAGAATGTCAGGGACAAGATTGTAGACCTACACAAGGCTGGAATGGGCTACAAGACCATTGCCAAGCAGCTTGGTGAGAAGGTGACAACAGTTGGTGCGATTATTCGCAAATGGAAGAAACACAAAAGAACTGTCAATAATTCTCGGCCTAGGGCTCCATGCAAGATCTCACCTCGTGGAGTTGCAATGATCATGAGAACGGTGAGGAATCAACCCAGAACTACACGGGAGGATCTTGTCAATGAGCTCAAGGCAGCTGGGAGCATAGTCACCAAGAAAAAATTAGTAACACACTACGCCGTGAAGGACTGAAATCCTGTAGCACCCGCAAGGTCCCCCTGCTCAAGAAAGCACATATACATGCCCGTCTGAAGTTTGCCAATGAACATCTGAATGATTCAGAGGACAACTGGGTGAAAGTGTTGTGGTCAGATGAGACCAAAATAGAGCTCTTTGGCATCAACTCAACTCGCCGTGTTTGGAGGAGGAGGAATGCTGCCTATGACCCCAAGAACACCATCCCCACCGTCAAACATGGAAGTGGAAACATGCTTTGGGGGTGTTTTTCTGCTAAGGGGACAGAACAACTTCACTGCATCAAAGGGACGATGGACAGGGCCATGTACCGTCAAATCTTGGGTGAGAACCTCCTTCCCTCAGCCAGTGCATTGAAAATGGGTCGTGGATGGGTATTCCAGCATGACAATGACCCAAAACACACGGCCAAGGCAACAGAGGAGTGGCTCAAGAAGAAGCACATTAAGGTCCTGGAGTGGCCTAGCCAGTCTCCAGACCTTAATCCCATAGAAAATCTGTGGAGGGAGCTGAAGCTTCGAGTTGCCAAACGTCAGCCTCGAAACCTTAATGATTTGGAGAAGATCTGCAAAGAGGAGTGGGACAAAATCCCTCCTGAGATGTGTGCAAACCTGGTGGCCAACTACAAGAAATGTCTGACCTCTGTGATTGCCAACAAGGGTTTTGCCACCAAGTACTAAGTCATGTTTTGCAGAGGGGTCAAATACTTATTTCCCTCATTAAAATGCAAATAAAAATTTTACATTTTTGACATGCGTTTTTCTGGATTTTTTTGTTGTTATTCTGTCTCTCACTGTTCAAATAAACCTACCATTAAAATTATAGACTGATCATTTCTTTGTCAGTGGGCAAATGTACAAAATCAGCAGGGGATCAAATACTTTTTTCCCTCACTGTATAGCATTGTTATGTTAATATTTTAGCGCAGCTCATTTTAAAAAGTAAACGAATGTGCACAGAATCAGTTTACCTCGAATTTTACACAACAGCTAACATTTAAAGAAACACCGTGGCAACAATAAAGGGGTTGATTGCAATGAAACATAAACATTTGCACAAAATAAGTTGTTTTGGCATGAAACATGTGTGAAGTAGTTAGTGTGCTACACAATGAACCTGGTGACCAGAGTTCATTTCTGGGTCGAGGCTAACATCAGAGGTGAATAGGCAATATATTTAATCATCTTTAGTATGTCCAGCATGTGATTGTCATGAGTTAACGATCAATTTGGAGAGAAACAGTGGCAAGATGGAATGTACATGGTGACTCAAATTTTGTTCCTGGCCACGACTCACATTCGCGGAGAGTGATATCTGAATCAGTTTCGGCCCCTTCTTCACAGCCAGCACTAACTAGAGTAGTGAAGGATGGTTAAACAGCATTCATGACTGACATGCCACAAGAGGGCCTTCATTCAGCAGTGGTCTGAACAAAAGGCTTTGAGTCATGCATATTCGTTTCATAATTATTCAACGTAAATATTCAAACTCTCAATGGCACCGTGCGATCACTTAGAACCAGTGAGATCATTGTGGCATCAGGTAGGAGGCAAGAAGAAATTGGTGTAAAGTTACCACAAAGGGCACAGGCATAAAACGGAAAGGAAAATGTCTGATCCTCAAATATGCCTACTGGGGGAATTTCGACATTTGGATTTTTTTACATGTTATGCACACTGCTGAAAAAAATCTGTGCATCTTGCAATTAAATGAATACAAATCACGCGATGCCTTCAACGATTGGTGAATTGTGCTAGAATTTTATTTGTAAGTGAAATACTGTTTTTTTTTTAAATAAACACTGTCAGTCAGACACCACTGCTCTCGCAGATTGAGAGTTGAGCTACTGTAAATATTGCAGAATAAGTGGTTATACTTGACAAATATGGAATGGCAGACAAAGCAGTGAACAACCCTGGTGGGGTAGCCAAGGCGTGAGGAGGCCTTCTTCCAACAGTGGATACAACATGGCTGACGATGATGATGAGAGCTTTTAGTAATTAAGTATTTTCCATCATGTCTGACAGTCTGACCCACAATGACCGAATGTTTAAAATGCTCACGTATTATGTGCTAATATTTCTACAAAACAGTAGACAACTGCTTAAAAACCTCTCTGTAATAGGTTGGACTATAGATCTTAAGTACGCCTTGCTTGTAATAATGATTGTGAGTTTAGTGTCTGAGTTCGCCAGTTTTGAACTAAAAATAATTGAGTGCACCAAAGTTTAACTGTATTTCAAATATGTAAAGCATTCCACCCAAATCTAATGCAAACACCTAATAGTTCAATAAGGGTGAGCAAGACTTTGCTCTGTACGCTTCATCATGCTTCGTGATATGGCCTGCGCTTGAGCTGCATTGTGGCAGTGCTCTCACGAGCTACGGTGGTGCCACAACAAATTATGAATGGCATCTTACATCTGTGACTCTGTGTGACTGCTGGCCAAATGCCCTGGCTAACTTTGCTACAAATAAGTATCCAGAGTGTTGCAGGCCATGCGGGAGATGAAAGGCAACTGAGTGTGATACTGGTTGCGAAGCCACTACCCTGTGTAAAAAGGCCAAGACACTTTAATTATCCTGAAGCACTTCGCCCCAACAGCCAATCAAGTCATTCAACACCGGGTCCTTTTTGTGCTGCTGCATATTCCACTAAGGTGACATAAGCTTTGCATTTATATGGTTAAACATGTTTCGAATTATATTGTTTAATTTATTAATACATGAGAATCGTGTACATTGCTTCAATAATCTACCATTGGATGAAGGCTTCTCCTGTACTGTCAGCTTGTTTGACCATGACTTAACCATGTTGTGAGGACCAACATATGAATTGCCACTTATGTTAGCCATGGCTATGGACTCAGTGGCTCGGAGGCGCAGTGGCTGAATTCATACTGCAGTACGATAACCACTGCACCGCAATTCTACCACACCCCCGTTACTTATAGAGGTAGTACAGTTATAATTCACATGTATTCGGTTATCTACGAAAGCTGGCATATGATGAGTGATTCGCGCTGGTGGTTGCTTAAAGTATTTGCAAAAATCAGTATACACATGCACCACTGACACAGAATATCCCTTCCACTGATGAAAAATGGTACTAATAGTGTATTAAAGGACTATTTATATATGTATTTGCTTATTAACCAATATGTGAAGACAAAGATCATATTCGGGCAGATGCTTTTAATTAAATCCTATTAAGGTCGACAAAGCATACAAGGGGTAGGTGAGGTAAACACCATTCCTAAATTACTGACTGTCAATTGCTGACGATTAGACATTGCACCAGCTACTCATTTTAAGGTTGGTACCACTTACAAACAACGATATACATGGCTTGTAATGGGCCCAAATCACTTGCTTTGCAGCGCAGTGTGTTGACTATTCCACCACCGCTCCACCCACAAAACATGTAGCTGAAATTTAAGTTACCTTGCTAAATATATTTCGTATATTAAGAATTCGAATCTGAAGCAATACTATTTCAGAGAATCTCTCTACCAGGAAAAAGTAATACTAATAATAGGCATGGTACTCGCTTATGCATTGTTTCCACAGCCGGTTTTAACTGTGCTGGCTCAGTTAACATTGTCCCCCTAGGCTATCTTCATGCTCTCATCTTGCCCTGGACCACATGCTCTGACTGATTCTAGTCATAAAGTCACGGAGTCAATGTAGAAGCAAATTGTGCGTGCTGCAGCATCACTTGCTATGTTTAAAGTCCCACCTTTATTAGTGTTGAAACTAAGTGATGGATGAAAACATAGTTTAAATCAGGGGAGAGGGAGGTGGTGGTGGAAGGGACTGAATCCCCTTGCTGAATTGTTGTATGCCCTGTCCTTTAAACTTAACACCTATCATCTTTTTCAGTAACACTGTCTTAACCGATAAAAATTACATATCTATATTTTTTCCTTGCTTAGGCAGTGTTATCGATGAATGTGTTGAGTTACGTGTTGTGCTTTTGCAACACTGCCAACGGAGTATTACAAAATAGTCCCTTTAAACTAAGGTCAGACCACAGGGCTGCGAAGCACACCCACGAATCTCAGCCATGGGGAGTACAGAGAGAAATGGGTTTAAGAGTAAGAAGAGGCAGGGGCTGAGCCCACAGAGCCTAATTTTCTCACAAGCATAGAGGGCACCCCAAGCTTCTACTACTGGGCTACTCCTGGACTATTCCTGGGCCTTCCCGGGCCAGAGATGCCCATTGCTCGTGGAAACTATGCATGAGACTCATCATCTCGAGATCAACATTACCTTCGGGAAGGGGATGATAGTGGTGAGGTTAAGCTGCGTGATGGTGATCTCCGTCGTGACCTGGCCTGGCTGGGCCTCCAAGGGCAGCCCCGGCGCAGAGGAGCCGACGTGCCAGAGAATGCGGCGAGTTACCGTCTGACTGGTGATGTTCTCCATCTCGAACACCAGTTGCGCTATCTCACTCTTCTTTGCTATGCTGCTCACCACAGTAAAAAAAGCAAAGCATAAAAGGACACTCTCATTAGTAATGTGGCTCCGTGGTCCCATTTAGACGAAACAGTCTTTTCCAAAAAAGCCCGGTAATCAGAATTCAGAAAATACCTCCAAACCCAGCCTTGGTGTGACTAATGGACCCTTAAATGTGGAAATATATGTTTGGTATTATTACATGCACAGTATTTCATAGCCACTCGTCAATGTCCTCTCTTAGCTACACACCTGGATGGTCAATTTTACATAAATGTCAGAAACCACTAAGTTGTTCCGAAATGTAGTCGCAATGCCAGCCATTAAATTGCACTCCAGTCTGCAATTCCAAAAGAATAAACGGTGAAAATTACTCCTAAATGAGACGACCATGGTTGGTTTGCAAATTGTGTTTGGGAGGCACATTTGTTTCTCCTTCACTTCAAACTGGCAGAATGTCTAACTGGCATAGCATGGAAAATTAGCATACAAACATTGGTTCCATATATTATATTGTGTGAAGACTGTGTTTTTATTCTCACAGGAGCTATAACAAACTTTCAGAATGAAAGTTGAAGTTTAAGCCCAGTTGAATTAATCCTTAAAATAAGTTTTCTCCTCTCATTGAGTTAAATATATAAATAAGTGAAGTTAATCTAAAAGTACACTGTAACTTCACCATGGAATTCAAATGATGCAAATTTAAATGTTCAGAAACCTCAGGGACGTATAGTATTGAAATTAATATACTTACCATAAATGAGCCTTCAGGCAATGTATTGGTCAAATGGCCCAAACCACATATAGCATGGCTTGCATACTTATAATAAATTAATTGTTTAAAAAAATCTATATCAATGGAGGAACTAGATATATCAATATAAACACGAAGAACCCTAGTGATGTTAAACATTTGCTTTTCCCCTAAACAAAACAGTCAAACAAAGTGATTGTACACAAATGACGGAGACAAATCACCCAGATATTTTACTATCTTTCCCAACAATGCTGAATATTCATTCACGTAATGTTTTGTGAATTGTTTCAATTCAAATAATTAGTAAATTACTTAAATAAACAAGATATTCTACAAGGAATCATTGCAATGCATATATACATGAAAATATTTATTCAACAGAGACATGCAAAATAAAACGATCTATATATTTAACTCCTGATTGTTATATTTTAAATGAAAAGTGGTGTAAAACAAATAGCTAACATATTTGCTAACCCAACTGTTAACTACGTGACCAATTGCAAGCAAGGTAAAAGGAAATATAACAATATAACAACGTTTGTGATACTGTGATACTGTGTTGGTAGTGGTAGTGTGGGGAGCGGTAGTGCAATGGTTAGCTCAGTGCGATACGACCCGAGTTCGATTCCCACTCACGGCCAACAACAGTGACGATTATCTGAATCGGTTCTGTGCCTCCCGTAGGTCGACTCAGCCTCACATTATTGCCTGGTGCAGTGTGTATACGTCGCTACTAGGAAGACAAAGGTGGCCAGGCGTGGTGCTGGCCACCCACCACCTCATGTGCGGTGTCAGCCTTCATAGGTGCTTGCTAACAACACTTACCCCAACAGTCTGTTAAGGCTATCTGTGGGATCTTTGTCTTGTTTGTAGTGGTGCACAAGTACAAATGACAAAAACTCAACACATTTGTTCATGACACTTCACAAAAGATATTTGTAAATTACACTGAAGGAACATTGACAGATATCTCTGATATGTTTTAAAAAGTTAATTATAGTTATTCACATATGCATATCTTGGACCTGCAAAGATAACTAAGGTATGACTTGATGTCCAAAAAGACCACTCACTATTCATTACAAAAATACATTTTACAGAAAATACCAAATACGTCTTCCATTTAATTGGAAGCAACACAATCAAAATAATTTGTATAGTATTTAAACATACCAGTTTAAATATTTGTACATTTCTATAGTATTTACGAGACAAAAAACGCTAAACTCCATATTACAGAGTCACATTTACTATCAATGGGTCACAGTGAGCTGTAGAAGCATGCTGAGATAAATGCCATGGCAATGTCCTGACATAAGCTATGTAGATACCTAGGTTCCTTGTGCAAAACTGCCTGGATTAATAACCACTGTAAATTTAAGTGTAAAGATGCCTTGAGCAAATGAAATCTTTCACTGTTAGGATTTCTATATTTTACTACTTCTGGAGCTACTTCAATTCGTAAAATACTTTTGGACAGTAAAAAAAAGCGTTTAAATCAATATCTTTATTATTTAGTACGCAAACCTTTTCAGCCATTTCTGTCAGTCTACACTGCTCTACTGAGGAATAGCGTAATAAAATTACGGTGATTCTCATGGCCGGGCCCCCCGTGGAAGCGGGCACGCTCGCCCCAGAGGAGCTGGGAGGGACTGGCACGTGCGGCAGATCAGCCGGTTCTGCGGAGGGAGCATCCGGCAGGGCAGAGGAGCTCCCGGCGGCCGGGGCCAGGGAAGCAGAAGACGTCGGCGTCTGGAGCGGTGTTAGTAGTTGCGCGGCATCGGAGGGTGGAGGCACAGACTTCTGCTGAGGGTCCACCCCAGCAGGAGCACACCCCGGCTAGTCGGACACGTTACACACTCGGCCCCGGCATTGTGGAGGTGAGATGGGATAGCGAAGCGCAACAAAGGGCTTGAGGCGCGACGGGTGGACGAACCAGCACCAGCGGCCCCAGCTAATTTGTACACATTGCGGCTGGACGATGCGGACGATCATGACAGGCCCTCGCCAAGGCTTTAATTATTTCCGTGACGTTCCCACCGGAACGTAAGGGCAGTGGAGCCACACCTCGTCACCCGCACTCCAAACATGGCGAGAAGTACGCAGACCCTCTAGACGTTCATTAGCCAATTGGCGCGAATTAGAATGTACCCTGGAAGCTTCCCGTGCTTCGGACAGCTTCTGGATGTTAAAGCGAACCGAATCAGACATTTTGGATGCCGTTTTAGTCGGTGCTACACCTAGTTGAACGTCGATTGGAGGGTCGTGATCCCTGCCGTACATTAGGAAGAATGGTGAATAGCCGGTGGACGCATGAGGGGCCATACGGTATGCTGCCAACATGCCCGGAATGCGCAAGTCCCAGTCGAGCTGAGATTCACTGACCTGGTGGCTTAACATTGCAGTGAGCATTCTGTGCAGATGCTCAACCATACCATCCATTTGGGGGTGGTACGGTGACGTCCGAATTTTCTGTGTGCTCAGCCTGCATTTTTGTAAAGACGGCACGCAACCGGTTGAGATATCCGTCGAAGGTGCGGCTAAAGATGATGACGTTATCCAGGTAAATTAGACAAGAGTCCCACTGAAGTTCCGCCAGGACTAGTTCCATCAATCGTTGGAACGTCGTCGGCGCGAAGTGGAGTCCCATCGGAAGCCGATTGAATTCGAAAAGACCCTGCGGCGTGCGGAAATCCGTTTTGGGTCTAGAAGCATCGTCCAACGGCAACTGACAAAACCCTGGCAGAAGGTCGAGCATAGAAAAGTACTGGGCACCCGCTAGGGCATCCAGACAGTCGTCCATCTGTGGAAGAGGGTACGCATCGGCGACCAAAATTTTGTTGAGCTTTCGAAAATCAACACAGAAGCGCAAGCTTCCATCGTGTTTTTTTTAACGAGGACAATAGGTGCTCCCCATGGGCTAGTGGATGGTAAAATAATGTCTGCGGCCAACATCTCATCAACGGCCAGCCAATCATGTTCTTTCGCTGCAGGACTCAGCCTGTAAGGGTTTTGGTAGATGGGAGCGGCATCTCCCGTGTCAATATGATGACTTAGCAAGGTGGTGTAGCGAATATCAAATTTACCGGTGCTAAAGACATCCGTAAAATCTCGTAAAAGAGACTTTAATTCATGACGTTGGGACTCCGACAAATCTGCCGCTTCCGAGCATAGGGAGTCAATCCAGCGGACATCTGGTCCGGAACGCGGCATCGGCCGTGACCTGGCCTCAACGCTGCGCATGACACACGCGTCACCAAGCGAAGGCGACGCATGAGCAAGGAATCGTGCCCTGCGAGACAACAACTGTCGTCAACACGGCATTCAAAACCTGGATAAATGGTTCCCTGTCAGCGGACACTAGGGTCTGCGCACCCACGAGTTGCAATCCCCGTACAGCCGCATTAGAGGGGCCCAACAGGATCCCTCCAGCCATTGCCGCGGGATCCAGCGGCTTGCGCAAGCGCAGGGGAATTAACATTTGTGCGCCCGGGGGGGATCCGAACTGTCGTGGATGCAAGCGCCTGCACTGTGGCGTTGGCCGTACACAAATGGGTGAGATATGGCAGGAATGCCAAATTACGGCCAGATAGTAACTCGATGCACCCTTGATTAATTATAAGGATGGGTGGTGGTCACGGGTTGCTGAGGAGAAGGAGTCTGCCTCAGTGGCCCGTGATCACAAATGGCTCTTTAATTCCATCAAAGAAGTAACCTGCAGTGCCACGCCTATTACCATAATTAGGGGAAAGAACGGTGATCCAATCTCCGACCCCCAAGAACAAGTTTGCAGATTTGTTGAGCATTTATGTGAGGTCCTGGGGGAGGAGGAATCCCTCACCCAGGAAAAGAACATGGGATAAAGTGGGGATGACCCTGACGAGGCTGCGGTGCCTCAAATATTGGAGGAAGAAGTCACCCCCTGTAAGTGGCTGGCTGAGGTGCGATCTGTTGAGGAAGTACTGAAGGCGATCCAGATTCTGAGACCAGGAAAGGCACCGGGCAGAGATGATCTCCCAAGCAAAATGCTGAGGGATGGTGGCGTATGTGCACAGACTGCCCTACATGACATCATAACAACAATCTGGACCACTGGATGGGTTCTAGAGGATTGGGAGGATGCCCTGGCAGTCCCCCTCTTTAAGAAGGGGGACCGCACAGACTGTAACAACTACAGGGGCATCTCACTCCTCAGTGTGCCGGGAAAGGTTCTTACAAGGATTATTCAACATCACCTTGCTATGCACGCT